GTTCTATTTTTACTCTACCACTGATCATACTTACCTACCCAATCAACACAGAAAAGCTTCCACGACAAGTACCGGTCGGAAAAGGGGAAAGGTCAGCCTGAAATACGCGTGTGCCTGCCTTCCTCCGCCAGATTGTAGTGGGGCGGTTATCGTTCGCGTTGAGGGCGATGATTCGCATCCTATAGAGGCTATTAAGGGCCAGAAGATTTGGGTGGAGATCAACCATTGGTAGTGTGTGGTATCGTTCAAACGGTCTTCACTTTGAATTGGATAATGATGATAGACGCGCAAACCGATGCCTTTTCTGATAGAATGCGCCCTTCCCTTGCTTACTCGCACTGCAGATCAACACACCATTTTATTATGACAGGTTAAGAATGATCTAAAAAATCACAACTGTGCACTAACTATCCTGCGCCGCTCTTTCCGAAATCAATGCTCACAAAGAGAAAACCTCGAAATCATTAGCCTTGTCTAAAACAAAGGCTTTTCTTTCTTCCATAAGCTTGAGTCTGATCTCCTTCGCCTCCTCCACCCCAATTGGGAACTCCTCCACCCCCTGAAATATCAGATCTCTCAGCTCCCTCGGAAGCAACTTGTCAAACACACCCCCGTGCGCGATCTCCTCCCTCCACCAATCCTTGCGTTGACATGGTACATTCGCTGAGCTGATAATCTTGATATTTGGATCGACCAAGAAAAGCGCAAGGATTTTCCTGTGCCCTGGCTTCGTCCGATCCACGAGCTCGAATGGTTGCACCTGATGTTGCAAAACATTGGGAAACGTCAACAGTCGGCCTTCGCGCGTATCTACGCTCCCGACATTCTGGAACGTTGGCCCGTTCTGGGTGCACCCGAATACTGCGGGAAGCCAATCGTGCTGGTCTTGACGATACATGATTTTGCAGCTCGTGAAGTCGCCAGTGGGCATATAGAAATCTGCGTGCCACTTGCGGTCACTTGCGGACCACCCGTTCGCAGGTGACCGCAAGTGTCTCGCAGATAATCAAAAAGGATCGCAGGTATCGCAGGTGTCACGCAGATAGATAGTCTACTACAACATAGTACTTAGTAAATTTAAACTAAAGAAATGTAATCTTCACTTGAGAACTTAAAATGTGGCCACTGCTATGCGATACGAGTCTGGAATACAGTGTTCAATTTTCTACACAAGAGTTTTAGTTCTTATTTACTCATGCCTACTCGCAAGTTGACCGCAGGTGGCTCGCAAACATCCATTTTGTGCGCAGATTCTCGCAAGTGTGTCTCGCATTGGTCTCGCAGGTGTATCGCAAGTGATGCGCAAGTTGCACGCAAGTGTACGCAAGTCTCGCAATGGATACTAACTCTCGCAAGTGTATCTTAAATGTGTCGCAGGTGTGTCGCAGATGTATCTCAAGTGTACCGCAAGCTGAATGCAAGTGTATTGCAGGTGGAATGCTGATTGGATGCAGGACATCTTGGTCATTTCGTAGAGCAATATATGTCGCCAGTATAATTTATGAATCCCATGAATGAAATGGTTCCAAAATTAGTGAATGTGAGGGAAATGTCATTGAAATACATTGTAAATGTGAGGGAAATGACAGTGAAATACATTATGAATGTCCCAAGAATTTCCTTCAAATCCGCTGAAACCGGTCTAATTGAGGAAATTGGGGGAAACACCGGAATCCTGGTTTTCTGGGGAAGTATAATGAGAGATTTTCGTCGATTTCCAAAGTTGGTTTTCGCTAATGTCCCTCGTTTGGTGTGGAATCAAGTTGGGATGGGAAGAAGAGAGCGAGTCTGGTGAGACTCCATCACTCGCCAATGGCAGACATTGGCTATTGAGTCCCGAAGTCTCTGGAAAAAAATCGACCACAATCACGTCTGATAAAGAAGGAAAATAATGGTAAGAAGCTGGTGGCTAACTAGTCATAGCCTCAGACACTGCGTTACTTGTACATTTCAGCATAAAAATGGTCTTAGTACAGACCTATAGGTACGAACCAACAAGTCAGAAAGAATCAGAGAGATTCAGATACGTTACATAAACTAGAAGGATAATTATGGTGCTCATTGAAGAAATCTCAAGAAATATGAAATCTCACAAGGTGCGCTGATGCTCGCAGATACTCGGCTCACTAGGTCTAATGTGCACGCAACTGGATTGGTCTGCATGCAAGTGACCGCAGATACTTCTTTTCGGTTCGCAACTGGCACGCAACCTGTGTCCGCAGATGGCACACAGATTTTCCTGTGCCCGTCGCCAGTGTGTTGGCGAAATGCGAGGGATGATGGAGTGATGTTCGAGGATGAGTAATAGTAAAGCACTGTTGCACAGATACGTTCATTCTGATTTTTTTTAACACCCCGAGTATAAAACAAATAATTTAAACTCACCATTTGACCTTCAACGTGCCACATTCCTCCAGCATATTCAGGCTTTTCCGGTGTTAGCTCAATATTCGCCAATTTGACAATTACTTGCAACCCCCAGATCCCAAACTCCTCCCTCAAATCAAAGGGCGGGGGCTCCTGAAGAGGCCGAAAAACATTTGGCTCAGGAAGCACGACCTTCCTTGTAGCCTCGATCCACCGCTCCCTCCTATTCCAATACGACTGTGAATACCGTTCCTCTTCTCCTTCCAGTCGTTGCGGGCCCTCCATTTCAGGGGCGTTTTCTGGGGATCATACTTCACCTTGTAGTAAGGGGTCCGGAAGATCACATCACGTCCATCTGGGTAACCCGGGTGAAGGTCTTGGGGTTGGTGTTTGTGATACCAGAGGTGGGCTAGAGGCGCCAGGGTGGCGTTCCAGAGAGGGATGGAAGCAGTAATAATTTTTTCGATGATTCCATAGAGCTCTTTATTTTTTTCGGGGGGGAGATTATTAATGTCAAGGGGGTTCAGGGATCTAAATGCTGGACTGGGGGTTGGGTAGGTAGGTCGGCCATAGGCCGAAAAAAAGATTTTTGGAACCCTCTACAAGATAGTCCTAAATTGGTTTTACAAGGTGATTTACAGTATTCCTGCATCTAGAATATCATTGTATAGTACATTATCTTGACTGGTTATTATATTTCATTATATCCAGCCCAATTTCTGGCTTCAAAATTGTTTTTCACAGTCTAATCTTCATCAAATTTTTGTCTAATGTTTTAATCAATCACAATTTACTGACAAAACAGTTAGAGACCAGTTCTTGACACCAATGGGTATGCTGTGTGACCTGATTTCAAAACTTGAATCATCTTGATGCTTTCGACACATCAGACACTCTAAACGGATGCCTGTGTGGTGTGGTATTGCACTCAGGATGCAATGGCTTGGTAAAATGGTTGGATGTGAGACTCAACAGGTGAGTATCAGTCTTGTACAAGTTAATCACTACACTCACTTATTTTTTAGTACCACCTACAATGTGTTGCATTGGAGATAGCCCCACGAAATTGGGTATGCAAAGCCTTAGAGGATCAGAGCGATCATGATGATGATGTCATATTTCCATATATAGGCATGTGCCTGATTACGTAGGTAGGTAGGTCAAGCACACAGGGCCTTACAAAAAAATTCGACCCCAGCTACTTTTTTTAAATTCTTGAACCCCCTTGGGCGCGATCGATTACAATTCAATTGCAATTCCAAGGGTACATCAGAAAACTCACAAGCTTCGCATTCGCGTCTTTGATATATCATTAGTTCATCCTGAAGATCTGTAACTTATAATGCTTCAAAGTTTCAGAGATGAAGCTGAGTGGTGCCTTCAAATTCATTATCTTATCTTATCTTGCAGAGACAGGCTTGCGAAAACGAGAGTTCTGACATGGAGACTATGTAGCACTGATAGCAGTTCAACCCGAAGGCTCCGGGTCTTCACATGTTTTTTCTCTTCTTTCGGTCCGTTTCATCATTGTACTCTCGAAATTACAAAGTAAATTGTCACCATCATTGAAGATTAGAACAAAACATCCCCTGAATTTTCAATCCGCAGTATAATTTGTTGCAGCAAAAAAACCACCCTAAAGTTAATGCTCACAAAGCGAAAACGTCTCCTCCTCAAAAACTTTCGTTTCCCTCAGAACAAATGCCTTCCTCTTCTTCATAAGCTTCAATCTCATCTTCTTCGCCTTCTCCATCCCAATTGGAAAGCCCTCCACTTCTTCAAAAACCAAATCTCCCAATTCCCTTGGAAGCCACACATCAATTCCACCCTGACACCCAATTTCCTCCCTCCACCAATCCTTTCTCTGACACGGCACATTTGCAGAGCTGATAATCTTGATATTCGGATTGACCAAGAAGAGCGCGAGAATTTTCCTGTGACCTGGCTTTGTTCGATCTTCAAGCTCGAATGGTTGAACTTGATGCTGCAAAATGTTGGGGAAGGTCAACAGTTGGCCTTCGCGCATATCTACACCCCCAACGTTTTGGAATGTTGGCCCATATTGTTCTAACCCGAAAACGTTAGGGAACCATTCGTGCTGTTCTTGTCTGTACACGATCTGGCCGCGCATGAAGCATCAGGAAAAAATGGACTTGCAATATTGGGGTATGTAGACGTGATAGCGTTGGTAGCACCATCAAGAGCCCCCTGAAATATAGCTCGTGGTAGCGGTGCTGACAAATACATATCACTACATCAGTAAGATGGAAAAATAGATTCTGGGTTTTCAGTGGTTTCCTCTGGTTTCTAGGTTTCTGGAAACTAGGAAACCAGAAACCAGGAATCCTGAGAATCCTAAAAACTATCTACAGTGTAGAACTATTTTTCCATTAATAATAGCTTGTTTACAAGTACGTAGATTCCAGGTGGTAGTAGTTCCTAGTGTTCCCCAAAGAAGGGCAACTGATCCCAACCAACACCAAAGAATACAAGGTCCACAACCGGATTGATGAGGAGGTCGTGATCCGCCGCTGTCGTTTGTCGAGTTGTGCGTTGTCGGTCTGATGACAATGAACGACAATGACATTGGTCGTTCGCCATTTGGTTGCCATGTTGCTGACAGCGACGTGGCACCTGGATTCAGAGTCAGACAGGAGAATGGGGAGGAGTACTTATGTAGGCTTACCTGGATTGGCACAGAGGAAGAGCCTAGACAATGACAACATCGTACATTGTCACCATCATTGTTGCCTCGCATCTGCCTCCAGCGGCCACTGTTTGTTCATTGGGCATCCGGCTGCTGGTTGTTGTGGCCAAGAACAGACACCATTGCCACCCTGTGAGCAGCGGTTTGCAGGGGGCTTAGAGTGTCGATGTGGTGGGTGGGCGAAATCGTAATCAGGCGATGCTTCGAGGGAAGGTGGGTGGATGTTGAACGTTGAACGTTGATGGTGGAAGTGGTTGTTGTCGAATTGTTTTCAACGTTGTTTGCTATTGTTGAAATTGTTTGTTGTCCAACTGGATTTGAACACAAACATGACCACATGGTCTGTGCGCAGCCTCAGGGTACATATATAAGCACCTGGTACCCATATCTTATTACACACGTATGTAGTATGATATATCATGTATATAGATTGTACTTCATATTATATATATACTGTGACAGGTTTCCTAGCTTTTTGCACCTGAAGTATCACCCCATGAGGTTTCCTGAAAAAGGGACATAGGTTTCTCAGTCTCCAAGTTTTCGGGTTTTCTGCGGTTTTCAGAGGTTGCCTGGGTTGAGAAACCTCTGGAAACTGAAATGCTCAATTACTGATGTACAAATATCGTGTAGTTTGATATACTGAAATTCCTGTAGTTGTACATAGTTCTATGTATGTGATCTCTCTTGGTAGCTTGAGAAAAGTAGAAGCAGAAACGGCTCACTCTTTGGACTGTATCAGGAAACAACCGCAGGTCCGTATGGCGTGTTGTGATGTGTCTACAATTATAGTCTTATTTTGAAGTGTATACTTTTCTAATGTCTGCATTGAGTGGGATTCGAACTCCAGGGCTTATGATTTTACCTTCCTTTCATTAGTTATCGATAGTTACCACTACACCAGCAGCTAATATATTGTCGATGAATCTCAGGCTACTACAAACCACAGAGTTCTTAGATTTCGTTTTAATACCATGTTCAATACCTAAGGCTACAACAAACCGATAACGCATGCACGAAGACTCGACTTGCAATCTAAGGCGTAAACATGTTCGGAGGACGCAGGAGTGTGGGGAATGGATGGATAGAGTCTAGACTACGCGGATGCGTGGTCTTCTAAAAAATGTGAGTACGCACATACGTCGCGTTGGGTATCGTGCATTCATCCTTCACAGCTTCAACTACCATGGCACACCTGGTCTCATCTCCCTCGACTGACTCCGAGTGTTCGCACTTCACCAAGCCAACAAACCCATACACAACAGCTGGGAAACCTACTCTGCATGTCGCAAGATCCTCGGTCGCATTTGATCGTCGTCACTCGCAAGGAGAAGACCGTGCTCTTGTTGGTGTTGCACAGATACAATCCAACGAGCGTTTCGGTGGGCGATGAAGAGTGGAATAATGGGCACCGTTAGTGCTCTCAGGAAGTGGGAGGATATGGTTCGAAAGACGATAAACGGAGCCAGGACACGCTAATCGGTCAAGGTACGTCAACCGTGAATCACCCACTTCATGTTATAATAGAACTCCAAGCAGCGCTTCGCACCACCCTCGTCCTCCACTTGACAAGTGTTCAAAAAGATTCACTGCTCGAAGCTACGATGGTGTAGTCCGCTGGCCGTGTGGCGGCCTTTTGCTGAAACGTGGAAGTACACACCATAAACACCAGAATCACAAATGTTCACTAACCTTCATCAAACAGCATAGTCGGTGCGCAATGCCTCTTGACGACGCTGTTGACGACAACGAGAAATGACAGCTGGCTGGCTGCGGGGCGTATAGAGGAGTTTCTGCACGGACGGATAACGAGTGTATGCGAAGGAGACAATCGACAACGAAGGGTGGCCTTTTGTTGAGTTACTATGATGGTCATTTACTCAGGTCTACCCATATTGACAACAAAGTGACGCTTGATGTGCGAGGCACTTTTACACTCAAACTCTTACATTGATATGGATAGATTTGCAGTCCTCAAATGTTACTAGTCACTAATTGAACTGTAGTAACCCAGAGTAAGTCATAGCATTGATAGCCAGCATAGATCTGGGCTGTAACTATCCATCCGACCAATAAGATATTGTGTCCTCAATTAGCTCTCGGCACTATCAAAATAACAGGGCATGCTATGATGACCAATGTGGTTACATGTTGTGCCCTGATAAGGTACAGGGCCTACATTATGTGCATATGGCTACAGATCAAACCAGCGATCTATCGGAGAAATCACCTTTTCCTGATGAGTCGCCGGTGTGTTGGCAAAACACAAGAGATGAGGGTGTGATGTTTGACGACGAGTAATAGTAAAGCGCTGTTGCGCAAATATGTTCATTCTACAAGACCGTTGAGAGCTCAGACATTGAGGATAGGGACCATGGAAGGTACAACGCACCAGTTGACCTTCAACGTGCCAAGTCCCTCCCCCATATTCGGGCTTTTCAGGAGTAAGCTCAATATTCGCCAATTTAACAATAATCTGCAACCCATTCGCTGCAAAATCCTTTCTCAAGTCAAAGGGGGGAGGCTCCTCAAGTGGCCGAAACACCCCCGGCTCAGGCAATACGACTTTCTTCGTATCCTCAATCCATTGATTCCGTCAATCCCTATATGACGCTGACCACTGGTCATCTTCGCCTTCAAGTCATTGAGGGCCCTCTGTTTCGGGGGCACGTTCCGGATCTGGATCGTACTCCACACAGTAGTACATCAGCAAGATAACAATTTACTTCTCTGCTTTTAGCAGCTTTTCTGCTTGCCACAAGCAAAGAAGTCAAAAATCTCAGAAGCTACGTTACCGAAAATGTAACAAACCGAGAAATGAGGAAAACTACACTCTACATTAACCCCTCCAACTGTGTCTTTCTCCTAGGACCCCTTTCTGGTGTATATATGAGCTACATATCGCATTTATGTACAACGACGACCTGTGGTTCAGCAGATCAGCTGTCAGTTTGAGCCAAGTTTGAGCCCATGGCGAGCTTGGCCTCAGCAGCCAGCATCTAGAATATAAACAAAGTTCTGCATGAAGCAGCATCCTCAGGCGGCGGCCAGCAGCAGGATACAATCTGAAGTCGGCACGCATGATGGAAGGACCCCGGTCAATAGCAGAAACGGTCTGATCCCGAAAATGGGGGTTTTGTCCGGACGCCATTTCGCAGTTTCTGTCCGGATTGTACCCGGCCTACCTCAAATTTTGTAAATTTGTCTGGGTTGGTGGATCTGGGGGTTTTTCGGCAAAAATTCATCTGGATTTGCAGATCTATCCATTCCAGGGCATAAAAATCGGCCCAGGTAGGTGCAAAGAGTCCAGAGACGCCCCCAGAGCTTCAACAGACAAGAATCAGTATTCTCGATCTATCTACAAAGTCCATGAGGTTCCTGGAATGGCTGACAGGCTATCCGGGCTTATTGAGCATAAGTTTAACAACTACAAAAACACGTGAAAAGTAAGGACAGTGCACAAAATGTTTAGTGCAAGGATCGAACACCCATTCTCAGGGAAGAGTGGCACACGCCATATCGTGCGCTTCACGACTCAGCTAAGAGACCTTCTGTCCGGATTGCTGCCTGAGGGTGTATGTGCCCTGAGCAATCCTGTCCGGGCTGGGGTTCTGGCTAGTTTCAACGTTTGGTCACTTTCTGTCCGGACTGGCTCCCGGCCGATTTGCAAAAATCCAAATTTTTTGTCCGGATCAGGACCAGACCGTTTCTGCTATTGACTGGGGTCCTATGATGGAAAGGAAGAGGAAGGAGGGCCAAGACGTGTTGACATGTCACCATCACTCGTTTCAGACTCCGACCAAGTTGAACAAGTGATCCGTCACACCCAGCTTTCCCAACTTCCACGTCAACGTCTGTGAACGTTGCTCCATGCTCCATCTTGATTCCATCCTGCCTTGAGGTATCTCCTCATGGGCTAACTTGGGGGCTGGGAACTTCCCATTGCATATGGTAAGCACGTTAATCTCATCACTCTCTATTCTTTTCCAACCCCTTTTCACATTTGTCACTAGTAGGCGCTGTGCTGTTGTGGCTGGCTGCCTCCCAGCTCCGGGTGTTTGTTAATACCCATTCTTTCTTCACACAGCTGTCACTGTCAATTTGGGACCATGTGAAGGATTGAGTGAAAAGTATTATCAAGAGGTACCATTAATATGTCTCTTCTTTTCACTTACATTACTAATTCTTCTGTTCTATAGCCAAAATCACACCAGGTAATTTGCGACATAGCCGGAAAAAAATGCGTAGTATATTGTGAATTGAATCGGCTTGTTATACTAATTTACATTATTTCCATTTGGTTTCTCTTTCGACGTCTTTGACTTTTTCTCAGCTTTTTTTCACTTTTTTAACTTTTTGGTAGAAGTGAGAAATTCAGCTTTTCGAGAAATTGGACTGGGCTTTTTGTCTTGTCGCTTTTCTATGTTTTCCCACTTGTAGCCACTTGCACAAGCCAAAAAAAGTAAAATGTTAAACTGCCGATGTAGGGGATACATAAGATCACAGCACGTTTGTCTGACAACTCCCCGTTGGGTTGATACATGTACCTGTCGAGGATATCCTCGGCACAGTTTTTGTGGTACCAGAGATGAGCCAGTGGCGCGAGAGTTTTGTTCCACAGGGGAATCGAAGCAGTGATGATCTTGTCAATGATGTGGTAAAGGTCTTTATGTTTCTTTGGATGGAGATTGTTGATGTAACTTGTAATTCTATAATCATCAGAGATCCGTTATGTATGAATAGAATAAAGGAGGTCTCACCTTGCCTGCCCATTACCTTCCGAAATGTCCACTTCGCAAGGCAACCATTGAAAATCTGCGCTGTACCTCTTATCTGGAGCCTTCTGCTTTTCTAACACGTTGCCTTCGCCACACCTCGCAATACAATTCTCCAATGTCGCGAACCCTTTACCCTTCCCAAGAGCCCTCGTCCGTCCATAAACAACGGGGAACAAGCTTGGGTGGACCAAATTCAGAACTTTCTCATCTGATCTGGGATGCCAGTCCTTCTCCCATTCTGGAACATCTTCAAGAGGACTGACAGCAGCTTGCAGTTCCTCCATGATCGTTTGAGATACAGCAGTATCCGATTTCATGACATCACCATTGTACACCTTTATCGCGCCACCTTCCGTCTTGTCGAAACGGCTGGCCTTGTATTTCAGCTCCTCCATGCACCACTCAGCCATGCTTTCCATAACATCTTTTCCAGGTGCAGCCAATGCCTTAGCCTTCCACTTCGCTCGGATCTCATCATCAAAGATCTGGCATTATCAGTATATTAAAACAAAACAACATGAAAATGCAAACCTTGATATTCCAGTTGGGCTTATCAGTGACTCCGTTCATAATATGCAACATCGTAAATTCGCGAAGGGTCGTGAGAGGCAATTCAATAGTCGGGGGAAGTTCCTCGTAAGGGGAATACTCGAGGTGGGCATGACCCTTATCGTTGTTCAGAAGGTTGGGAAAGAGACAAGTGGATTCGGATTCATAATTTAGAGGCTGGTCGAGTCCTGGGATATCACTGTTTGAAACCATTGGTAGGTGTAAGTAAAGGAAGGAATACTGCCCTTTGCATACAGCCGTTTGCATAATTCCGTGAACACCGAAAATTCTTTTTTTGGGCGTGACGTGACTTACCTGCCCAAAAAAGTCATTTTCCCGTGCTTTGATAACGGTGCCAATGGCGTGAAGAGTTACATTCATGACACCTTCGCTACCTGACGATCTGGAGCTACATACTTATGGTTGCTTTGTACATTGGAGAGGGGTTAAATAAAGACCTGGTGCACTGTTTTATCAGGCATGTATGAAAAGTCATGCACCAAGGCTGAGAACATGGTAAAGTATAACTAATCCTTTGACAAAAAGGACCAGTATACCTTCCATAATTGAGGAGGGATATTTTAAATACATTTCCGCCAGTCGAAACGCGAAAGAACGAGGTGCAGGACCGTCTGAACTTTTGAAAAGAGCAAGGTAAAGCTGTGCTTAATCAGGTGACTAGTCACGTCACACCCAGAAAAAGAATTTTCGGTGTTCACGGAATTATGCAAACGGCTGTATATGATTGAACACTCGAATTTTTTCTCACTATTTGTCCTGGCCAAATATGATGACAAATTTTGCCAAATTGGTAGGGAACAATGTTCTGAGAATACTTAAGTATACCATCCACAAGCTCTCTCAACACCTTCTGGCCATGAACAACATTGAAAAAAGCTCTGTCATTCTTAAAATATAATTAAGTGACAAGAATATTTATCCCTGCCTTCATTCATGAGAATCTTTTCCCCAATCCTCTTTAAATTTGCCCAGACCTCATTCAGGTAGATACTGGGTTGCTAGCTCTGCAAAACTGTCAAGAAATACGAGATATTTGTATTCTCAGCCTCCTGGGGTATTTATTATAAAACATTGTAAAGGGATGCTTATGGATCAGTAGATTGACCATAAGTATAGCTACTCAAGCTACTGCTAATGTACCAGATCAATAGCCTAAAAACTCATCAAGCTTTGTGTAAGAATACCCATAACCCTGAGGCCACTTCACCACGTCGTCTCTCAGATCTTTGCAGAGGGCGAGAGCCAGAGATGGACGAGACCTTCGTCTGTCGGCTTAATTTGGCAACATTTGTCATCATATTTGGCCAGGACAAATAGTGAGAAAAAATACAAACGTTCAATCATATATGCAAAGGGCAGTAATCCAGATTTTTACGGGGCCGTGCCGAATTGCAACGACACGTGACTGTCTTCTACCGCTGTGCCCCTTTTTCTCCACAATTTCCCTTTTATACTACTGCAAGTACTTATATAATTCTTGCAAAAATGCGATTTTCTGTGCACAGAGTAATTTTATCTGGAAGTTAGAAGTTAGAACATCGCCGTGACTCGATGGGCAGAACCCTAACCCTAAGCCTAACGCTGGCAAATTTGATCGGCGGGTATACCCGAAATCGGGCTTGTCAAATTTGCGATCTTCCTCGTTGCCCACAGCGCCAATAATATCATGCGCCACCCTCGGTAACACATTCTCTAACCTCTCTGATCCTGTCATTCTTTCAAAGTTCTTCTAAGTTCGTCTCGTCCCGTCTCCACCCCCGACCCTGCTCATTCCCATCCGTTTGTCCACGGTGAACGATGCAATTGCCACTCTTTCTCTTCAACATCCTCCTCGTTCTTCCACTGGTCCATGGGCAGGGAATATCCTCGCTTCCGCCATGCGGAATGCAGTGTGTGAATACGACTGCCACCAGCTTAGGATGCTCCGTGTATGTTTTTCTATGCCTTTCCACTTCAACTTGTACCAATCTAGATCCTACCTAGTAACGACGCAAAATGCTTGTGCAGTAAAGCGAATTTCGTCTCGTCCAGCTTAAACTGTGCACAGGGTACGTGTCCACCAGAGGACTTGAGTTCAACAGTAGGTATATTGGGCGAGCTGTGCGCAGCGGGTACGTTATCCCGTTCCATCCCCGTTGCCCGCAAACTACCCACACACGACAAGCCTCTCCTCCAGGTTCAACGTCGATTACCAAATCCTCGTCCACACCCCCCTCCCCTTTGACAACTTCTTCCAACTCCAACACCCCTTCCTCTGGCCCTACGCTTACATCCACAGCCCCCCAAACATCAATATCGACATCGATCACCGGCTCGCCCGCGCCCAGCACAGTTACAGTGACAGCGTCTAATACACAAGCCGGAACGACACTCAGCGTCCCAGCGAATTTTCTGCCAACCTCGGTCTCGGAAAGCGGTTCAAGCACGACCGTCGTAGTCGCTACTATTTATCGACCGCCCCCGTCGTCAGGAGCGATGAAGGGAGAGCTTTGTTGGGGATTTATTATGGGTACGGTTGGGGTCGTTATGGGAGCCTGGAGTTTGTGATTGTGCAATGGACCTCGTTTGATTATCGGAGGTGGTGGCAGGCTCCCTCACTCCTCTTTTTTTGGTGTGTATGAGCTTTAAAAGCGACATACGCTCATGCACCGCACATTTCTATCTCATACTAGCATTTGCTTGGACATGTTCTCCTCTCTATTTAATTCGGTCGTGTCGCATCTTGCACATCAGGAAACAGTCTATTTCTTATTAACCTGCATGGAACCTTTGGAAAGCGACGAGGTGATAGAAATTAGGAAAAAAATACATTGATTTAGGTAAATACTTGACACTCCTCCCTGAAAAAATCCTTTCGCGTCGGGATTGCCACCAGCCTGAATATCTTTCAACCATTCAATTGCAGGTCAGTCTCCCTGAGCGATTTCAACTCCTTCCAACTGGGAAGATTAAATGCCGATGGTATCCTATCCCAATAATCACCCCGAGCAGATTCATACGCACTCATGCAAGCCGAACTGCAGGGGGTGCACAGCCCTTTACAATACACCTCCTTCAACCACTTCCTGTTCCACCAATATGCCAAGGTGTGAGCTTTCCTGCCTGCTGGTTTCCTCTGGGTGATTGAAAGTCTGCCCTCTTGCGCTCTGGCAAGTTTGTCCAAGGCACATTTTTCCCGATGAAGACATTCTGGACAGGGGGCTGTTCCCAGTAAGTCATCGTATGTCACATCCATTATCTCAAGGTTTATTGTCCCCGCCAAGACGTTTCGTAGAACGATCGCACGCTGAGAACTGTTCCAGGACGAAGTGTCGCGCAACGTATGAGACGGCGTCACGTTGGAACAGTGGTAATATACGGCGGGGAGTACCCATAAAGCGTTGATGTAGGTGGCAGTAACGATGATGTTGAGCAGCGTTTCTAAACCAAGAAACCATGGACCTTGCCCAGCACGAGCGCCCCGCCAACGAAATATAAACGCGTCCATGTCCATGGGGTAGTTCCTCTCTATGTGGAGGATCGAACGGTGACGAAGGTGTTGTACTTCATATTTATGGCTGAGTAGTGCGACGCTCAATACGACGTCGACTGGAACATCCTTTGGAGGAGGTTCAAAAAAACTTCTCGGGTTAATTAACCGGATCGAACATGAATCCGAGATACTCACGCAGGATCGTAAATGGCCATAAGAAAATTCTTTACATCTTCGCCGTGACTTTGGAGATGCGTCACAGGACAACCTTCAATACTCTCTGTTCCCTCCGGAGTAGGTTCTGAAAACACCCTTCGTAAAATCGGTGATCTAGCGGAGAGAATGCTGCGGTGAATACGAAATTGGTAGTTCCCGGCTTGGATAACATTATTTCCATCGTCAAACCAAAGGCCGGGCGGACGTTGGATAGGTTCAGAGCAAGATGTGGGTTTCGGAAGGGGCCTGCCTTGATCAGATCCGTCCATTGTGCTCAGTGCTGAAATCAGGTGCAATGAGTGTATTTAGAGCTGGAGTCTCGCAATTACCTTAATCCGCCCTAATACCGTGAGGGAGAAGCAAACGATTGAGCGGGTTTGAACGGCGTTGGTAGATTACGAGTAGAGTAAGCGCTGGAGCCTGGTCGTTATCATGATTGACACGCTGTCACGTGGTATAATCCCGACGCGCAAAAAATGCGCTATTAGAGTGTGCCACAAGGGGCAAACGGCTTTCGTTGCCAGGTAAAGAGGTGATAAATAGTAAATAACTATGTCAAAATTTTTATTCCACATTTGTTGAAAAATGATCAGTTACAGCTAACTGCATAACCGTAGACCATATCTAAATTTTACTTTGTGCGCCTTTATTTGTAAATAAAATTCAAATTTTCTTGCTCATTATCTTTGCAGGAATGGTTGATAGAAAGAAAATGTTGTTGCCAGAGTAGGAAGATAAAGATCAACCCTGTTTTGCCACAGCAACAAAGATGAGGCGACAAGTTAATGTCATTGAAAGCCTGTTCCTGACATGAGGAATTGGAACAAAGAATTTAACTAATTGCCAGGGAATTAGACATTCCTATGCGGGCCAGATCACCTCGTTGCTTGGCAAATATGTAAATTCTTTGTTCCTGTTCCCGCATGTCAGAATGAGCTTTCAATGACATTAAATTGTTGCCTCGTCATTTTTGCTGTGGCTAACCCTCATCTTCCTACTCCAGCAACAACATTTTACTTTTATCACTCATTTCTGAAGTGAGGAAATTATAATTTTATCTAACTGCTCATTTTTTCTGCAAGTGTGGAATAAATGATTTAACATAGTTATCTACTGTTTACCACCTCTTTACCTGGTGACGAAAGCTGTTTGCCCCTTGTGTGCTAGACTCGAACGCAGTCTCCGATGGTAGTGGTTAATCCGAGTAAGGGAATGTAGTGTTGAATCCAAAAAATTGCCAAAGTTACGGCTGGTGTCGAGACTAGCACTATCTTTCGTGGCGCAGGGAATTCCTATTACTCCAGAGCGGTCACGCAGTGTGCAGTAGATACTCCTCACATGCTCCACGACCTACCCAGTCAGTTATACGCTGATTCTGCCTCATGCGACGTCATCCGCGTGCTGAGAAAGTGGAATCATGGAAATCAAATATACAACCTGTGACAACAAATAAAATCATGCGGATCATTGACTTGCAAGTGTCAACTGGCAACAAAGAAAAAAAATGCTTCTAGTGTGTAACGTAGCCAGTATTCTTATTCAGGTGGACCATTCAGGTGAACCTGTTAAACCAACCAGCGATCCCACGAGCGGATTCTTCCTTGGACCAGCCTAGAACAGCACAATATATTTAGTCGGTTTCTATCAAGCAAAAAGGTGGACTTACGAATGACCTCGACTGAAGGATCACCTCGCGTTGCGAATCCATGTTCCACACCACCAAATAGTTGGACATGATAGGTTGCTTTGACTTCGTTTAAAATATCTTCTGCGCGCCGGCGAGATTCGGTGGGGAAAGTTGGGTCAATTTCTGTTGGCGGAATTGTGGGCGTTAGGAGGATGAATTAAAAGATGGACCGGCACCAACCCGCCAGAGACAGTAAGAGAGGCTCTAAGAGATATGTGTAAGCACGGAGACATCAAGGGGAAAATATGCACGTACTCTTAAGTTTCTTGAAGTGGTCGTCCGTTAGGTATGCAGGGTGGACGAAAGCGGCTGTTTAGGTATTAAGCGACATTAGCTGGGGATTTCATGGAATGCGGGCTCACCAGCGGCAATCCTATCGCCGGCAGCCAGTTCCATAGTAAACGGCGCACCAAAACAATAGCCTATAATGTATATGGAAGCGTTAACCTGAACGCTATCAATGGTAGTCACGACTGACCGGCGGCATAGTACTTCGCGTCAGGGCCTAAAGTAAATAAAACGTCTGAATTCCAAGAATACGAACGAAGAGTAAGAGTAGCGTACCATATTTGTCTATGACGGCATCGATCCACTTCGGGGTCACCTCCTTCGCCTTGACGAAGCATTTATCGATCCAGGGCCATAATTCAAATCCCGGCTCGGTGTGCAGATGGACAGCATCGCCGAAGAAGTAATCAACACCCAAAACATGAAACCCTGACATCCATGAGGAACTAGAAACGATAGATTATCACGCGCTACATACCTTGCGACGCGTAGTAGTCTTGTAAGAGTTGATTGTTCAAGAAGTAAGGCCCAAAGATATCCGAGAAGAACAGGATGACTTTCTTGGGGCCCTCCGACTGGACGTGCGGGGGATCAGAGAGATAGGTTCGCAGATCTGCAATGGTTACAGTCGTTCCGGCTGGTTCGCCAGAATGCTTGAAGCCTTTGGCGCAACATTCACCTGGTGGACCAGCGAGGACAGTAGACATAGTTGAAAGGCGTGTAGTTTGGTGGCGAGTGGGCTAAAATTCGGTCGCATATAAGGATGCGGCTGAATCATCCTGGTGGACATGGCCGAGTCATCTCCGGTGGACATAGCTGAATCAGCTCCTATTGGGGGTCTGAGGTTTATCATCCATAGCACTGAAAGTGAAACAAGGGCACAGTCGGGCAGGGACAAAGCTCAGAATTGACAAAGAAAATAGCATGATGTGTCATGTTACAAGAATTGCTCGTCTTCCAAGGTTGCTTGTGACATTGAACGGATTGGTTCAGAAGATGCATACAAGCTGCGCAGCCTATCTGTAGCACAAGGGGCAATGTGGCGGACATAAGCGCAGATTATGCGTATACGACGATGAGAGAACGACGATGAGAGAATGTTTGTAAGATTTCATTCAAGCCACAGAATAGCGAAGGGGATAATGATAGGGTTAGGGTTCGACTTCATCTCATTCCATGTTCCGAACGGTCACCCGACTGTTGCCACCATCTTCTTATCGGATATCCCATCGTACAATGTCTTCTGCATTCATCGTTCCATACGACCTCAAGACACCCGTCCAGATTGCGCCTGGAACTGATGTTGCAGAGCTCTGGAACTCCACTCCTCAGGGAGACAAGCCATCAAAAGTGGGGACGACGCGGACGTTCTACAATACCCCACAGGGCAAGGTCACGACTGTCTCGTCTTTGGGCAGTGGCTTCGCGGAGAAGAGTGCTGACGCCAAGAGGGAATTGGTCAGGAAGTCTGTTGGAAATGCCGTGAAGGCGTTGAAGGAGTTGGAAGGCGTCAAGGATGTCACCGTGGATGAGTCTGCAGACCCTCACGCAGCTGGTCAGTTCACCTTGCACCTGCATGACCATTTCTCTGATCGACTAATTTAGCTGTCGCCGCACATCTGGCTCTGTACAGCTTCACCCTGAAGACCTCTCCGCCATCACGATTCAACCCCAACCTCACACAACCCATCCCTCCGAAGCTTAGCTTCGCGCCTCTTCAAACATCCACGGAATGGGATCGAGGCGTTATTTTTGCTCAGGCCCAGAACCTCGCTCGTACAGTGCGTACTCATTACACGGCATACTATGTAGTTTACCCATGCTATTGCAGCTCACGGAACTCCCAGCTAACATTCTTACGCCAACGGTTCGTATCTCCTCATGAGGTGTGACGTGAGGTTCTGACATTCGCTCTAGGAGTTTACCAACCGGGCGAAGGAAAACTTTGCTGACATTCCGAACGTCGAGATCATCATCCGAGACGAAGCTTGGGCCGCTGAAAAAAACATGGTAACCCTCATCTGGACCTGATAAACCTGCTTGATCTCATCGTTCTTTCAGAACGTTTTTCTTTCCGTGACACAAGGCACCTCAGAGCCTGCAAAATTCCTCGAGATGTATGTCCACTTCTTGCTTTCCCCTATGCCGTACTTACATCCACCAGTCACTACAAAGGCGCCCCAGACAAAAATGCCCCACCACTGGCCTTTGTCGGAAAGGGTATCACGTTTGATTCGGGAGGCATCAGCTTGAAGCCTGGAGCTGTACGTCGACCCCTTGATTCCTACCATTTCGCGACTCATCTTGGTTAGGGTATGAAACTTATGCGTGGAGATATGGGAGGCGCGGCGGCCGTCGTCTCGGCCGCATGGGCCATCGCCAAATTGCAGCTACCGTACTGTATTTCCCTTCCAGCTTTCTCCGAATTGTCTCTAACTCTTTCTCTTCAGTGTCAACCTCGTCGTCACTACTCCTTTGACAGAGAACATGCCCGGACCCAGCGCTACCAAGCCCGGTGATATGTGCGCCCTCTACATCCCATCCTCCTTCATTGTTGTTTACGATAATGTACCCATAGCTTTTACGCCATGAATGGTAAATCGGTAGAAGTGGATAACACGGACGCCGAGGGGCGGTTGGTTCTTGCTGGTACGTCTCCTCCTTGACCCCTCGATTGCACAAAGACGTGACTGATTCGGTAGATGCGATCTACTACACGGCAACCGAGTATAAACCTCATACACTTATTGATGTGGCCACTCTCACGGGGTGAGCTCTACCCCCTCCTCCATCACCGCCATGTTGAATTCATGCTTCTTCTTAGAGCCATGGTCATTGCTGTTGGCGAGGTGTACTCCGGCGTATTCTCTGTCCGTTCATTTTTACCTTTTCCTCCTTATGGTGATATGACGTGAATCATATTATAGACTTCAGATGAACTCTGGAACGAGCTCCACGCTGCGGGTGAGGTCGAGTACGATAGATTCTGGCGCATGCCGTTGGATGAAGATTTCGGCCCGCAGATTTACTCCAGTAATGCCGATTTGCAAAATGTGCGTTCTCTTTGACACCTCCCGCTTCATCTCCCCTCGCCTCATCCCATCCCTTCCATCAACTAATAACTACCTCCACTTTTCAGACCGGAGGTAGACCCGCAGGCTCATGCACAGCCGCGCTGTTCCTTAAAGCCTTCGCTGAGGGCGCCAGCCCCGAAGAAGGTAAAGAACCAGAGATGAAATGGGCGCACATAGATATTGCTGGATCCATGGAGGTTCGTTTCTTCTTCATCTTCGTTACTCAAATATGTGCTCACGTCTTCGCTTTGCCAGGCTACGAGGCCCACGCCGTACCAAGAAAAGGGTATGACTGGTCGGCCTGTCAGGTGAGACTTGGTTTGGATGCTTAGTTGAACCTGGATTAATTGTTGGTTTATAGGGCGTTGGTTGAGTATGTAACGCGGCTTGCTGGGGCGAAGTAACAATACAGATTGGAACTATGGATATTGTCACTCTGCGTGTACATGCTGAGGTCGTTGACAGCGCATGTGAAGTGGAGTTTCTGGGAGTGGTACTGTGAGGGTAGAAGAGAAGAAGTAGTTTGTGTGTGTTTCTTGTGACCCCAATAACAGGGAAGTTGGCTGGATGGGAGTGGCCATGCTGTCGGAAAAAAGTCAAACCAAGCGAAAATTGAAGCATAAGTTCAACTTTTTTCAACTTTTTTATAATGTCCAATCATAGTTTCGCCTCCCCGCAGGGAGCTCATTTCAATTAAAAATGTCTGGCCATTGCAATTTTCATGCAACGGCCAGACGTGGTTCGGCGTGACATATTTTACTGACTACCGACGTGAAGGGGTACTATTTACTCTCAGAAAAGGCCTAGACGAGGGTCAGTGATGCGGTCTGGGCAAATTCATGTAATTTCTGCAAATCAGGGTCCGGATACTCCGCCAACAAGGCTGGATCCAAGTGGAAGTTTTCGGGGGACGGGGACTCGGAGCGTGGTAGTGGTACGTCATTCGGGTCGTCAAGAAGTAACAAACTTCAAGAGGTTGGCGAAAGCATCGCGGGGACAAAGAATGAGTTGGGGGTGAATGTAGGTCTGGAGGGACCTAGCTCCTCTGATAGGAGATCATCATCTGTGTCTGTGCCAGGCAGTGAGAGGACGGGAAGGCCCAGACATGATGGCAAGATGCTCATAGCGTTGTCGTCGGTGGGTAGAAGGGTGAATGACTGCATCGAAGGGGAAGAGGGAGAGCTGAGCTTCATGTCTTCATCATATATAGAGGGGAGATGTGGTATTGACGGGGAATTAGGGTGTTGGAAGTAACCTATCCACGGTTTGCGAAAGACAAGATCGGAGTTGATTTCGTCAAGAATTGGTGGAGGCATTGATGGAGAAATGGATGGTGTGGAAAGAGGTGAGATTGCAGTACTCGATTCTCCAGCTTTTGTGCTGATATAGTCGTGATCGACTTGCATCGATTCTGGACTGGGATCATCCCAAATATCTGGGGATTGCATGGGGTATGGATCAGCCCCATTGGGTATGTCAAGGAGGGGCAGGAACGTGTGGTACGAGGGCCCTGCAATTTCACACTGATGATAGGGGTGATGACGTCAACATAGATGGGGTATCACGTAAGAGATAAGAATGCTCCAGAGACTCAGTGGGTTGCATGTGGGAAATACTGTTGCTGTCCCACTCTGGAGAGAGAGGCGAGAGTAGAGGGTCTACGCCTTCAGACTTCAGGCACAAGGTGGATTGGTATGAAGATGATGATGTGGTATCGGTGCCATCCAGCGAGTCTGTGGCAGATAATATAGGAGAGAGGCCCTGCACAGATAAAATGGGAGAGAGACATGAGGATGATGATGATGACGACGTGGCATGCGTGACGTCATGAAAAGCATCGGTTGGTGGCAAGGCCAGGGTCGACATAGGTTGCGTGGGGGGAGGCGAGAGTGGTGCCTGCGATTTGAGCACTGTGTGATGCATGACCAATGGGGAGTCGTAGCAGGAGGGTGATTGCCAGAACGTGAAAAATCGAATTTCAGCGGTGGGGTGGAGTGACACAAAGGAAATGAAACGCAGCACTATGTGCTGCCACGTAACAATGGCCAGACTTTGAAAATAAGTGCAAGAGTGGTTCTTGAAGGTGATATCAGAAAAGACAAACAAAAGATGGGTGTAGGAAAAAGCTTACAATGTCTTCAAAGGTGGGTAGTGGGAGGGCGATTGCCGGAACTTGAAAAAACAAATTTGAGCCGTGGGGTGGAGTTACACCAAGAAAATGACAAGCAGCACTATGTGCTGCCACGTAGTGATGGCCGGACTTATAAAAATCAAAAAATAATTGCAAGAGTGAATCTTGAAGGTGATATGAGAAAAGCAGAACAAAGAGAGGGTGTGGGAACAAGCTTACCATGCCTAGGAAGGTGGGTAGGGTGAGGGTGATTGCCGGAACTCGAAAAATCGAATTTAAGCAGTGAGGGGATGTATTGTAAAAAGAAAATGCCATAGCATCATGTAGCGATTGCCGGACGTCGAAATATCGAGTTTGAATGGTATTTGAAAGACACAGCGGCGGAACCACATTTCCAGAAAGCGATACGTCGTGTCAGGCCAATCCAGAGGTAAGGTTGGAGGAACAATAGCAGTCCGCGCCGCGCGGACGTCGAAAATCAAAGAACAGATTTACACAAAGCCTGTGGCAAGGTAAACGAGGGTTCAGGACAGTAAGAACAAACATAAAACTTACATGAGAAGATTTCCTCATGACAGCAATCCCCGGAACACCAAAAATCAAATTGAAATTGTGCCCATCGCCAAACTTAGTCACTTCGAGTTCTATGGGAGGCAATACATTGTTATGAGGCTTCATTAGCAAATAGAAGTGAAGGATCACAGACCGAATTGATTTGCATGACCTAGGCATGCATAATGGCTGAGATGACAAGTGCAGAGGTGGTGGAGGAAAGCATAGCTGTTTGGCCTAAAATGGAATTGTTAGTCAACCTGGGGAAGAACAAACAAAAATTGACCCACCAGAGCGGGATACGTGAACGTCGTCAACAACAACCTCTGACTGGATGGTGATGAGTAAAAGTGTAACAATAAATGGCCAAGCAGCAGATGAGAGGCGGGCAGCGTAGAGGCATAATGGCGGCAAGGGGAAGGGTGAGCATTCACATATTTCCGAATCTACTTATACCTCTGGGTGCCAAGGAAAATCAACAAAGTTCAGTGTGAGTAAGTATTGTCGGATGTATCCAGCCGACAAACAATGCGCGGGGACCTTGCAGCCAACATTCCAGGAATAGAGTGATCGGGAGAATATTCTAGGGACACGCACCTCGAATCAAAAATCCGGAGCTATCAAACTTTGTGTGTTCGATTTTCTGCAGCTCAGCTTTTCCCCCCATTCCTCCTCCCCCTCACTACTCAAATTCTTGCCCTCGCTAATTCTGCTTATGTACCAACTTCAAATTTTCTGGGATATGAATCTTTCCCCCTCCACCTGTGGTATGTAAATCCCAAATGACTGGATAGCTAGTCACGACTCCACTCTTGGCATCACCATGACTTTTCCAGCTACTCCGAAAATGCATGCGCTTCGTATCTAATTCAATGTGTCTGCCATATTTCACCATAAATTCTACTCTCCAGGTCCAGCACTTTGCAAATCAGTGGGGATTTTGTTGTCAAGGACAATCTATGGCGATTGGTAAGTAATTGCTCTGCAGGAACAAAATTATCTCATGCACGTTGTTTTTAGGTTTTCGGCGTACATCTCGCAAACGCCTCTCAACTCCGAGTCGTCGCATGTGAGCGTGAAACTTTTTTGGGAGATAAGTGGTCAGCTGTCGCAACCGGTGTGTACGTTTGAGAACGTTCTTACCCTTCAAACCTAATTTTTTTATCCTTGACATTCAGAAATTTAGCACCTGCAGACGAGGGTACGAGCGGGAACCTGAGACTACCACGTCACTATTTAAGCAGTCTCCTCGTCGTTCATGATTGTGCGCTCTTGGAGCTTTATTAGAACAGCTCCGTACAGGGCACCTCACAGTGTTAGTCGGAGATATTATCCGAGTACACGTGTCTTGAAGTCTGGGCATTTTGCGTAGCGCAAGATTGGAGCGGAGATGTGTACTCCAAACACGGCTCTTCTACCATTTTGTTTCCCCTACTTTCCCTTTCAATTAATTCTGTACCCCCATGTTTTACCTAGTCATTTGAAATATAAACTACTCAACGGTCTAACATGACGGTCGTACAGACAGTTTTGAAAAGGATTGAAAGAGATTAAAACACGACTTCCTCGTTTCCCGATTCTTCAACGTGCTTGGAACCCTGTGAATGTTGTACCTGATTTTCCAGCACTTTCGCCAGCGGAAGATGTAAACTGGGCGTGTTGTGCCCATCATCCCGTGCATTCCATACAATTATCTACCTTTCCGTATTCGTAGTGTACATTTTCTACTATTTCCAACTGATATATATATTCGTAAATGTATTTGACATATTCTACCAATGAACGAGTGCACGGACGTACAGACATTCATTGTGCGGAGGATGATCTCCTCCTCCCCCGCTTCTGATTTCATCATTACACTTGAAACACATTCTTAAAACGAATTATTCTATGCATCAGGGTCTTCTTCGGAACCCCGTCAACCCTGTGCCTGAAATTCCAGAACTTTTGCCAGTGGAAGATGCGAGCGCGGAATCGCCGTGCCCATTCAAGTCCCTTGCATTTTAAATGCTTATGGATGTTCCTCCATTGATAGTGTATAATACTTATCAAGCTACAGCTCATAAATGTATATCTACGCATTGTAGAGGCTTCGTGGAGCGAGAACATTCGAAGTGAGGAGGATGGATGATCTCCTCCTCCCCCGAATCTCATTTTCCCACCTCACTTGAAACAACCTCGTAAAGCGGACAGTCCTACGTGTCAGGGCCTTATTCAGAACCCTGCCAGGTATGTACCTGAATTTCCAGAACTTTTGTCAGTGGAAGATACTAGCGTGCAGCGCGCAACTTACCAGTATTCCAAACCACTCGTTACCTCCCTCCATTCGTACTGCATCCTTTTCGTCCAAGTGTAACTCGGACATCTATTCCTAAATCTATTCAAGACTTCTCAACAAATTGTAGCACAGTCGAGCACGCAAAAATGTACATATGATGATAACTTCCTCCTCCTCACCCAATTCCGTATCCATCGCGCTTGAAACGAATTGGCGAAACTGACGCTTTTACACGTCAGGGTCTTCTTTGGAACAATGCCATCTGCGTGCCTGGATACCTGTAACCTTCCGTCAGCGAAAGATTACGGCGGGCACGTAGTTTTCCATATTTCGTACCATTCCTGAAATTCCTCCATTCGCCGTACGCCAGATGTGCGCAATGACATCTCATGTATCTTTGCCTAATTCCTCAATAGTATTAGTGATCGGAGACGTTGACCGAGCACAGTACACGTACCTTCTGAATAATGAGTAAGGATATTCTCCTCCTCCCCCGATTCTTCATCGTGCTTGAACCGCACACACGGATTTTCCATCTTGACGTGTCAGGGTGCGATGCGGGTAGTATCCCCAGTGTCCCTGCACCTAGGAAATCAGAAGTTCTGGTGTAAGAAGTTTGTGAGCGGGTGTGTGCTCACCAAAGTGTTTATCGTCCGAATTCACCATTTGTTGTAATACGCTTTCACGTTTCTTGAATAAGGAAAGTTTTGAAATTTGTTTATTAATGTAGTAGAATTATAGTACACTCACTCGCGTAGGAAATACCAAAGCGTGTAAGTTCTTTGGGCGCTGAACGTGTCCTCCATCTCCTCTCCCGATTCCGAATCAAAAAACGGCGTTCTGAACTTTCAACTATCAGAAAATAATTCATCAAGGGTCTGATGAACGTACGTACTTTGATATTGAATGACTTGGCCTGTATTTTCTTCAAGCGTTCTGCACCTTTCGGAAACGGGAGCAATTCCCGCATAGTGCGAATTCTACCTGTGTAAATTAGTCGGTACTTCTTTCATAGATGAATTGAATGTACTTTGAGTGATAACTGATGAAAAAGTAAACCAAACGATGCCGGAGTGAGTTAAGAAACCAAAGGAATGGATGGATACGACACTTACGCAAAGATCGTATCCTCCGTCCCTGGTTCCTACGATCCGAACTCTGCACGAAATGAGACCCTGCTCCCGTAAATTTTTTGGGTCACGTCAGTCACAACTCGGCTATTTACCGCCAAGCGAGAAGACCTATAAAGACAGGGTGGTAAGTCCAGTATTTCTCATCAGTGCCCACTTACCTTGTACGCTCTCCTCCTCCCTCTCCTCTCCTTCCGTTGTCGACGTCCGCTCCCCTCTCACTCGTCGTCGTCACGCTGGTTAGTCGTCTGTTCGTCGTCCGTCGTCGCTGATGTCGACGTCGCGTATCGAGTTTTTAGGACCTTCTGTCGACGCCTGACCTAACGGAACGTTGGACGACGACAACCAGGTAAGTCAACGTCCTTTTTGTGATCCACAACGTTGACTTACCTTTGCTGATATCCCTTTTCCGCAGGTTGTTTGTGATGGCGCTGACGACAACGGTAAGTTTTCATTAACATGAGTTCTGCACCTGGTCCTTACTTACCACGCTACTCGAGCCCCTCAGGCTACCCATTGTCAACTCGTCCGCCTCATTTGTACGCGACGTTGGCCATCGGATCGTGACGAATAGCTTGGATGGGTGAAATACGCGTTGCGAGGTCTGGATGTCGTGAATACGTCGATTCTGCACAAGGTACGTCAGTTTTGTTCACCTCATCTCGAGTGCGCAATGTTTACTCGCCTGGAAGACTGTGTTCCAGCTCGTTCATCGCGTTTCCCGCGTAACGACAGCGCTTGGCCGTTGATGAAAATCTAGAAGGTACGTTAGTGTCTTTCCGGTGTTTGTATTAATCACTTACCTGTGTCGTATAGCGTCAACGTGGTTTACAGAAGCATGACGACCTACGAAACGTAAGTCATCGTACACAATTCTCAAGAGAAACCAACTGACCTGAACGTTGTGGCTGAAGTTGGTGGATGGGCGTTGTGGCTGTGGGAAACGGTGAGCAGAGAGTAACGTTGTAACGTGTGACGATAGTGACTTGCCTCTTACCACCACCAGCTGCCCACGTCGTCGCCCATTCCACTGGGTTTTTCGTGCACGAAGCCCTCAGCGTCGGCGCTTCCGACACGCAGCACGATGGACTCGACGGATGCTTTGAACACATAGGGTGGTAAGTCGTTGACCATGCATTGAAAGGTTTCGTGAACGCTTACCATTGTGTACTATCGCCAGAACGTCGACAATGCGACACGTTACGAGCAACTCGGTCGTCGAGGGATTACGGGTGGATAAACGAGCATACAGCGTAGAGAAAGGGTGCAAAAGCAATGGTACGTGCGCCGTAACTCGTGCTCATTTCCCTCAACCTCGCCACTCCCTCTCACTCTCAATTCCCAGGACAACAACCCACCCACATTCGCGAAACCTTCACGTTTGCGGAACTCTACGTTCCCCAACTCGACTACGCCGAAGACACACGTAACGAACGCTATCGCTCGCAGAAGGCAAGGTGTCCGTGTCCCACCCCAAATCCAGTGTTCTCGACTTTCCCAACGTCGTGTGTAAGGCCGCCCTTTTGCTTGGGGAGCTCGAACTTGGCATAGGCGACTGAAGACCCTTCTACTAGCGCCTGAAATCGTGTTCACCGTTGAACACGATGCAGATTTCGGAGGCGCGTCGCGTTACCGTGGTCTGAGGGGTTAAAGGGATGTGTTTGGGGAAGGAAGGAAGGTCCACGCGGGTGATTCGAAAGCAAGCTTCGGGAGTGGGAGTGGTCATGTCTTTGAGCCAATTCGTTGGAGGGCGTTTGAAGGGATGAAGAGTGGATTCGGAGAGAGGGTTGCGCGTATTCAGAGGTCGGGAAGGTTATGAAGAAGACAAACGTGAGTCATCGTCAATCCGAGCGAAGGGGGCTGGTAGCTTACCTTTCCGTGTGTGTATCAGAAGGTGTACCATCGGTCGCTGCCTGGGAACAACGTGAAACGCGCCAGGTCGATGGCGCTGCTCAAGCACAGCAGGAACAACTGCTTCGGTCGTTGTGGACGGATAGGTGCCCATCGCTGTGAAGGTGTATTTGGGGATTAGAGAAGGAGGGTGGCGAATGGGAGGAACCGTTTGTACCACCAACTTGTTATGTATGCACGAAGTGTGAAGGTGATCATGAAAGAAGGATGGCACCTCTTGTTGAACGAACTCTGAGATTCGCATTCACACATACAAGTCAGCACACAATATTACGTCTCATTCCATGGTCACCCGACTGTTGCCACCATCTTATCGGATATCCCATTGTACAATGTCCTCTGCATTCATCGTTCCATACGACCTCAAGACACCCGTCCAGATCGCGCCTGGGGTTGACGTTGCAGAGCTCTGGAACTCTACTCCGTAGGGAGACAAGCCATCAAAAGTGGTACAATACCCCACAGGGCAAGGTTACGACCGTCTCGTCTTTGGGCAGTGAAGAGTGCTGACGCCAAGAGGGAATTGGTTAGGAAGTCTGTTGGAAGTGGTGTCAAGACGTTGAAGGAGTTGGAAGGCGTCAAGGATGTCACCGTGGATGAGTCTGCAGACCCTCACGCAGCTGGTCAGTTCACCTTGCACCTGCATGACCATTTCTCTGATCGACTAATTTAGCTGTCGCCGCACATCTGGCTCTGTACAGCTTCACCCTGAAGACCTCTCCGCCATCGCGATTCAACCCCAACCTCACACAACCCATCCCTCCGAACCTTAGCTTCGCACCTCTTCAAACATCCACGGAATGGGATCGAGGCGTTATTTTTGCTCAGGCCCAGAACCTCGCTCGTACAGTGCGTACTCATCACACGGCATACTATGTAGCTTACCCATGCTATTGCAGCTCACGGAACTCCCAGCTAACATTCTTACGCCAACGGTTCGTATCTCCTCATGAGGTGTGACGTGAGGTTCTGACATTCGCTCTAGGAGTTTACCAACCGAGCGAAGGAAAACTTTGCTGACATTCCGAACGTCGAGATCATCATCCGAGACGAAGCCTGGGCCGCTGAAAAAAACATGGTAACCCTCATCTGGACCTGATAAATCTGCTTGATCTCATCGTTCTTTCAGAACGTTTTTCTTTCCGTGACACAAGGCACCTCAGAGCCCGCGAAATTCCTCGAGATGTATGTCCACTTCTTGCTTCCCCCTACGTCGTACTTACATCCACCAGTCACTTCAAAGGCGCCCCAGACAAAAATGCTCCACCACTGGCCTTTGTCGGAAAGGGTATCACGTTTGATTCAGGAGGCATCAGCTTGAAGCCTGGAGCTGTGCGTCGACCGCTTGATTCCTACCATTTCGCGACTCATCTTGGTTAGGGTATGAAACTTATGCGTGGAGACATGGGAGGCGCGGCGGCCGTCGTCTCGGCCGCATGGGCCATCGCCAAATTGCAGCTACCGTACTGTATTTCCCTTCCAGCTTTCTCCGAATTGTCTCTAACTCTTTCTATTCAGTGTCAACCTCGTCGTCACTACTCCTTTGACAGAGAACATGCCCGGACCCAGCGCTACCAAGCCCGGTGATATGTGCGCCATCTACATCCCATCCTCCTTCATTGTTGTTTACGATAATGTACCCATAGCTTTTACGCCATGAATGGTAAATCGGTAGAAGTGGATAACACGGACGCCGAGGGGCGGTTGGTTCTTGCTGGTACGTCTCCTCCTTGACCCCTCGATTACACAAAGACGTGACTGATTTGGTAGATGCGATCTACTACACGGCAACCGAGTATAAACCTCATACACTTATTGACGTGGCCACTCTCACTGGGTGAGCTCTACCCCCTCCTCCATCACCGCCATGTTGAATTCATGCTTCTTCTTAGAGCCATGGTCATTGCTGTTGGCGAGGTGTACTCCGGCGTATTCTCTGTCCGTTCATTTTTACCTTTTCCTCCTTATGGTGATATGACGTGAATCATATTATAGACTTCAGACGAACTCTGGAACGAGCTCCACGCTGCGGGTGAGGTCGAGTACGATAGATTCTGGCGCATGCCGTTGGATGAAGATTTCGGCCCGCAGATTTACTCCAGTAATGCCGATTTGCAAAATGTGCGTTCTCTTTGACACCTCCCGCTTCACCTCCCCTCGCCTCATCCCATCCCTTCCATCAACTAATAACTACCTCCACTTTTCAGACCGGAGGTAGACCCGCAGGCTCATGCACAGCTGCGCTGTTCCTTAAAGCCTTCGCTGAGGGCGCCAGCCCCGAAGAAGGTAAAGAACCAGAGATGAAATGGGCGCACATAGATATTGCTGGATCCATGGAGGTTCGTTTCTTCTTCATCTTCGTTACTCAAATATGTGCTCACGTCTTCGCTTTGCCAGGCTACGAGGCCCACGCCGTACCAAGAAAAGGGTATGACTGGTCGGCCTGTCAGGTGAGACTTGGTTTGGATGCTTAGTTGAACCTGGATTGATTGTTGGTTTATAGGGCGTTGGTTGAGTATGTAACTCGGCTTGCTGGGGCGAAGTAACAATACAGATTGGAACTATGGATATTGTCACTCTGCGTGTACGTCGTTGACAGCGCATGTGAAGTGGAGTTTCTGGGAGTGGTACTGTGAGGGTAGAAGAGAAGAAGTAGTTTGTGTGTGTTTCTTGTGACCCCAATAACAGGGAAGTTGGCTGGATGGGAGTGGCCATGCTGTCGGAAAAAAGTCAAACCAAGCGAAAATTGAAGCATAAGTTCAACTTTTTTCAACTTTTTTATAATGTCCAATCATAGTTTCGCCTCCCCGCAGGGAGCTCATTTCAATTAAAAATGTCTGGCCATTGCAATTTTCATGCAACGGCCAGACATGGTTCGGCGTGACATATTTTACTGACTACCGACGTGAAGGGGTACTATTTACTCTCAGAAAAGGCCTAGACGAGGGTCAGTGATGCGGTCTGGGCAAATTCATGTAATTTCTGCAAATCAGGGTCCGGATACTCCGCCAACAAGGCTGGATCCAAGTGGAAGTTTTCGGGGGACGGGGACTCGGAGCGTGGTAGTGGTACGTCATTCGGGTCGTCAAGAAGTAACAAACTTCAAGAGGTTGGCGAAAGCATCGCAGGGACAAAGAATGAGTTGGGGGTGAATGTAGGTCTGGAGGGACCTAGCTCCTCTGATAGGAGATCATCATCTGTGTCTGTGCCAGGCAGTGAGAGGACGGGAAGGCCCAGACAAGATGGCAAGATGCTCATAGTGTTGTTGTCGGTGGGTAGAAGGGTGAATGACTGCATCGAAGGGGAAGAGGGAGAGCTGAGCTTCATGTCTTCATTATCTATAGAGGGGAGATGTGGTATTGAAGGGGAATTAGGGTGTTGGAAGTAACCTATCCACGGTTTGCGAAAGACAAGATCAGAGTTGATTTCGTCAAGAATTGGTGGAGGCGTTGATGGAGAAATGGATGGCGTGGAAAGAGGTGAGATTGCAGTACTCAATTCTCCAGCTTTTGTGCTGATATAGTCATGATCGACTTGCATCGCTTCTGGACTGGGATCAT